TCTCTACTAAAAATACAAAAATTAGCCGGGTGTGGTGGCGCATGCCTGTAATCTCAGATACTCGGGAGGCTGAGGCAGGAGAATTGCTTGAACCCAGGATGGGGAGGTTTGAGTGAGCTGAGATTGCACCACTGCACTCCAGCCTGGGTGACAGAGCGAGACTCCGTCTCAAAAAAAAAAATAAAATAAAATAAATACAGAGCTCAAGTGATCGACCCACGATGGCCTCGGGCTCCCAAAGTGCTGGGGATTCCAGGAGTGAGCCACCATGCTCAGCCTTCCCCTGATTTCTTGAAACCATTGGCTCTGGCTCCACCTTCTAGTTCAGGGACTCCTTAGAACAGTGACGTGTGTTTGACAAGTCACACCCACAGAAAACTTAACATGTGGTTCAAAATTACATTTCTTCATGCTGAGGCAACAGGCCGGGTTTAATCAGAGGTGGTTACTGACAGCATAAATGATCACAGCCCAGAAGTCCCAAGCTTGCAATAAAAATGAAGCCCAGAACCATATAATTTGGAGCTATTTATATTTAACATTGATGTCTGTTTCTCTGGTGGAGAGAGGGGTTGATGGTGATAGTGATTCTGAAACAAAACTCTGAAAGAATAGCAGAGATGGAATGTTTCTGAAGAACATTTCACATGGCGTGAATACCAGCGACGTTCACTGAAAATGTCTGTCCGCGTACGCATATTTATTACAAAAACATCAGGCATAGTGGCTTATGCCTGTAATCCCAACACTTTGGGAGGCCGGGGAAGAAGGATTGCTTGATTCCAGGAGTTTGAGACCAGCCTGGGGGACATAGTAAAACCCCATCTCTAAAAAAATGTAAAAGTTACCCAGGTATGGTGGAGTGCACCCTGAGTAGCTGGGACTACTCAGGAGGCTGAGGTGGGAGGATCGCTTGAGCCCAGGAGTGCGAGGTTGCAGTGAGCTGTGATTGCACCACTACACTCCAACCCTGGCAGCAGAGCAAGACCCCGTCTCTAAAATAAATCAGTCAACAAAAACATGGTCACATGGGTGGACCAAGCTCAAACTGAACATGTTATCCTTCGTTTTTTTTGTTTTGTTTTGTTTCTTTTTGAGACAGAGTCTCACTGTGTTGCCTAGACTGGAGTGTTGTGGTACAATCTCAGCTGAGTGCAACCTCTACCTCCTGGATTCAAGTGATTCTCCTGCCTCAGCCTGCTGAGTAGCTGGGTCTACAGGCGCGTGCCACCACGCCTGGCTAATTTTTTGTATTTTTAGTAGAGACAGGGTTTCACTGTTAATCAGGATGGTCTCGATCTCCTGACCTCATGATCCGCCTGCCTCAGCCTGCCAAAGTGCTAGGATTACAGGCATGAGCCGCCGCGCCCGGCTATCCTTCGTTTTAATGGTGCAATTTGAAGTTTAGCTCAAGCAGCCATATTGGAGTCCTCTGAAGTCTGGTACCCCCAAGAGCATGAGGCTTGGTACCCAGGCCCATCACAGACCAGGAAAGGCCTGGTGGGATTTCTCCCCACCGAGTGGGGTGGGGGGCTTCCTGCTGTTGGAAAACCTTGAAGCCTGTGCCGTCCTGAGAATCATCTCTCTTAGCTCTGGTAGCAACCCTGCTTCCAAAATCATCCTCTAAGGCCACGTGAAGGTGCCAGCCTCATTTTAATCACAAGCTGTATTTCATGAAGTTGTTTGGGTGTGGTGGAGCTGGGAACTGTGCCAAACCCAGAGAGCTTCCTGGAAATGACAATTCTCATAGGAAAAGCAGCTCTTTTCTATTTAAAACCTCTGTGGCGAGGGGAGGGGATCAGGCCCTGATTTGGTTCCCGAGCTACGTGTGTGTATTTTTCTCAGCGTTTGAATATCAGCATGTGTCTCATCCCTCAGACACGTCTCTAATGATTTCACTTTTAATGGGCTTTGGCATTTAAAACACATGCGAATTGAGTTTTTTGCTAATTGAGAAGATATGGAATGGAGAAATAGCCAATTAGGTATTGTGCTGCTTGTCTGACTTTTAAAACAATTTCTCCCACTTCAGTGAAAGGTAGTCAAAGGGCCTCTCTCCAAGGAGACTTAGTTGGCTTTGAAAGAGTTTTATTTTAGCTTGTTCTTCTAGATCCAAGCAGAAAGCGGGGCTCCCGTTCTCCCAGGTGTCGGACGAGGACCAGGTTAAAAGGAGAGCAGAACGGGCTCAGGTTCCCACTTGGGGCATAACTGCATTGTCTGTTAGAACAAATGACGCCAGAGCAGGCGGTCGCTAGCCAGTTTGCGAGTCCGTGCCCAGTAGGTGCCAGCCCGCATGCCCCATGCCAAAGCGCTTTTCTCTTGGTGCCCGCGGGCCTGGGCGCCCACAGCACAACCTGCTCCCTGATGACTGGGTTCTTCGCTGTCGGCTCTGCTGCTTCTGTGACTGTCGCTGCTCTAGGCTGTTGCCAAGGCAGGCTCAATTTTGCCGGGTGGGGGTGGGGGGTGCTGAAGATTCTTAATTGCCACTCCCCACCTTGCCCAACTGCATTGGAAGCTATTCCTTGACTTTTTCTTTAAGACAGGGTCTTGCTCTGATGCCCAGGGTTGTGTGCAGTGGTGGGATCATAGCTCACTGCAGCCTCCAACTCTTGCCCTCAAGTGATCCTCCAGCCTCAGCCTCCTGAGTAGCTGGGACCACAGGTGTGTGCTACCATGCTCAGCTAATTTTTTTTTTCTTTTCACTAAAAGACTTTAAATTCTCACTTGGGAAAGGACAGTAAGAAGGGGTAACTCAGTTGGCATAGCATCTAGCAGGCGCCATGTGAAATACCTGTAGAACGTTGGATGGATGGATGGTTGATAAGTTGGTTTTAGCCACCAAGAGTAGTTGAGAAAAGCAGGAAGAAAGGTGTTTTGGTGTAAGCCCAGTCAAGCCATTCTTACTCCCTGCAGAAAACTGCATAGCCGAAGTTGGCTCGCAGTACTGGGCAAGTCTCTCATGCCCTTCCGACTCCGATTCCTGGTAAGATGCGACCCTGAGTGTGTGGCCTGGAGAGGGCTGCAAGTACGGGCACAGGCTCTGGAGTCAGACATCTGGAGCTCGGACTCCCCTCTGCATTGTGAGGACCCAACTGTGGTCCTTGGGCAAGTTCCTAACCTTTCAGAGCCTCAGGTGCCTCATCTGCAGAATGGGAGCGTATTCATTTCCTGTTGCCGCCATAACTAATTGCCACAAACTTGGCATCTTACAGCAGTACCCATTTGTGATCTCACTGGTAGGTGAGAAGTCAGTGCTGGCTGGCACCGGTGTCTCTGTTCTGGGTTTCACAAGGCCAGAGTCAAGGTCTTGCTGGCTGGGCTCTTATCAGGAGGCACTGGAAAGAATCCACTTCCTTGTTCCTTCAGGGTATTTGCAGACTGCAGTTCCATGTGATCATGGGCTGAGGTCCTGTGTCTGTTGGCCGGGCGTCCTTCTTAGCTTCTAGAAGCTGCCTGTGTTTCTCAGCTCGTGGCCAGCACTGGTGGGCCAGCTTCTCCTTATGCCTTGAATCTCTGACTTCCCTTCTTCCTCCTCTTTCCTGTTTTTCTCTTCCACTGCTTGTCGCTGATTCTGGTTGGAGAAATGCTTCTGCTTTTAAGGGCTCCAGTGATTCGAGTGGGACCACTCAGGTCATCTAAGATACGCTCCCTACCTTAATTCCATCTGCAGTCTCTCCACAGCAGCACCGGGATTCGTGCTTGAATAACAGGGGAAGGAATGTTGGGAGACGCCTCTAGAATTCTTTTTTTTTTTTTTTTTTGAGACGGAGTCTTGCTCTGTCGCCCAGGCTGGAGTGCAGTGGCCGGATCTCAGCTCACTGCAAGCCCCGCCTCCCGGGTTCACGCCATTCTCCTGCCTCAGCCTCCCGAGTAGCTGGGACTACAGGCGCCCGCCACCTCGCCCGGCTAGTTTTTTGTATTTTTTAGTAGAGACGGGGTTTCACCGTGTTAGCCAGGATGGTCTCGATCTTCTGACCTCGTGATCCACCCGTCTCGGCCTCCCAAAGTGCTGGGATTACAGGCTTGAGCCACCGCGCCCGGCCAAGAATTCTGTCTATCATGGGTGGTTAGGAATGTACCTGCCACGGAGTTGTCATGAAGGTTAAATCAGGCGAGTTGTATGAAGCACAGAGCAGAATCCCTGGCACACTCTTCAGGGCTCTTACACGCATTCACTGTCAGGGAGCAGACACGAGACTCTTGGCAGCACTGATGTTGTGCAGATGTGGGATCTGCTCTGGCCCCATGGGTTCCTGAACAGCAGGTACCCACCTGTTGATGTGGCTGTTCGAGGGGCCTTCGTTTACCTTGGGGAAGTTGTATCCTCTCTCCTGGGCCTGGGGTTGCATTTTGGAGATTTATTTTCCCTTTTGTCTTATCATTCAAAGCTGGAGTTCAGGTTTGGTCAACCATGACGCTGTGGTTAGACTTTTTTTTTTGGCAAGATACCTCTCACATCAGATTACTGAGCAAGAAAGGGAAGATCTGATGCCAGCATGTAAAGGCTGGATATGGGCACCAAGGATTGGGGAGCTCAGTTCCGGAGATGTCTTTTGGTCTTTATTACCGGCAGCCCAGGGGCAGGAATACTGACTACAGCTTTGGGTAGTTTGAGGACACATCTGAAAGAGGCAAGGTGAAGCCTTTCGGTTTTCAGCTGTACTTGTGTTAAAGCAAGGCTTGTCACCGCTGGTTACCCTTCATTCCTCGACCTCCCTGAATGGTGTTTCTTCCATTTCGTGAGTAATGACCATCTGTGGGCACAGAGCTTCGTCATCTTACTGAATCCCCACCCTCTGCAGTGGTGACCTTACTGTCATTTACAGATGAAGAAGCTGGCACTCTGGGAGGTTCAGCAGCTTGCCCTACAGCACATACGTGGCAGAGCTGGCACTGGAACTCAGGCATGACCTACCCCAGAGCCAACACTGTCCACAGCATCTCTGCAGGGCACAGCCTGAGCCCCAGTGCAAGGCAGTAACCTCCGTTTTCTGTTTCAGGCCCTGAAGCGCCAGAGCTCGTTGGGCCTTTCCTTTTTTAACAGCATCTTGGCCCATGGGGACCTACGCAACAACAAGCTCAACCAGCTCTCCGTCAACCTGTGGCACCTGGCACAGAGGCACGGCTGTGCAGACACCAGGACCATGGTGAGGCGCTCGGAGGGCCGCGTGGTATAAGCCCACTGGCCAGTGCACAGCCACCCTCAACACAGCCTTGTGGCCTGGACATCAGACAGGCAACCCCAATCTCCCCTTTTAGAAAGGCACTTGGTCCATTTCTGCTGGATCACTTCCTAGCAGTGAAAAGCAGAGCTGGCCAGGTGTGGCAGCTCATGCCTGTAATCCCAGCACTTTGGGAGGCTGAGACAGGAGGATCGCTTGAGGCCAGGGGTTTGACACCAGCCTGGGCAACAGAGAGAGACCTGGTCTCAACAAAAAAAAAAAAAAAAAAAAAAAAATTAGCCGGGCATGGTGGTGCACATGTGTAGTCCCAGCTACTCGGAAGGCTGAAGAGGGAGGAGGGCTTGAGCCCAGGAGTTGGAGGCTGCAGTGAGCTATGATCACACCGCTGCCCTCCAGCCTGGGTGACAGAGCAAGACCTTGTCTCCAGAACAAAAAACAGAAGCACAGCTTTAAAAGTCTGTTCCCTCTGCATAAAAACCATACACATAAAACATCAGTCATTTCTGGTCACACCCAAATCTGATTTTTAGGGCAAGCTGCAATCCAACAAGTTAAAGACTGATTTCTTCCCTCCCCTCATCCCTCAAAAAACTCACTATTCTCTACTAAGAAATCTAAGCTCACATAATGGCTGATTCATTAGAGCCTTGGGCTCCAGGGATAATGAACCAGAAAGGAGATGGATCTTTCTTTTTTCTCCTAGGTGAAAACGCTAGAATACATCAAGAAGCAAAGCAAACAACCAGACATGACTCATCTGACGGAGCTGGCCCTCAGACTCCCTCTGCAAACAAGGACCTAACCCCCAGGCCCATCCGCAGGCTCAGGGACTCTGGCGCCAAATCCAGGAGGATCTGCTCTGCTGCCCTGAACTCTCATTGCAATTTAGGTTTCGCATTTTCCTTTTCTTTTTACATATGTGCAAATTGGTTTAAGCTTTGGCCTCTATCCAGGTTATTCTGACAATGAAGAAATGGGAGTTGTCAGAGCATTAAAATGCAATCTTCATTGAGAAGCAGCGTCTCTGCGTTGTCTTTGCACAAGTGGCCTTCAGTCTACTCAGCCCAATCCGATGGGCCTTTAGCATGAGAGAAACAAGAATGCAAGTAACATCTTTCTTTTCTGGGAGGTGTTTTTTTTTTTCTTTCATAGTTTAGAAAAAGGACTTTGAAAAGCAGTCCCCTTTTAAAGTTTCAGACCCATTCCATTCCAGACTTTGTACCTTCAAGTTAGAGCACGCCCAAAGTCTGGAACTCAGTGTTACCTGAACCTCTATGGAGGATTTATAAAAGGCAGAAATAGCACTCCATTAACTCTTTTTCCTATCAAAAGCAGCTCTTGATTGGACTTAGAATCTGTGTTGGTGGACCAAAGGAGAAAGCGAGGTCAAATTTGAAATTGTCTGTGGCTTCAGTATACAGTAACTGAATAAATGTCCTGAAGGAGCATTTATGTTCATGACTGTTCATTTAATTACTTCTGTCTTCCTCCAGAAGAGAGAGAACGTGTCTAAATTTATTAGCCTGGTTTGTTTTGCAGCCACAATTCTCAACAGCATGTGATTCTGTCTGCTTTTCTTCCAACAGTTTGGCGGAACCTGATTCTTCTATTACGACTGGTGAGCTTGCACCGACATTTCATTTTGAATCAGTAAAAGCATTCATACCGATTGGTGATTCATACTCTCAGCCCCACTGCCATTGTGAAAATGCATCCACGCTGTGGATTTAAAGTGCTGCAAACTATTGTGCTTCTAGAAGATCCACACTGGAACCGGACATAGATTACATTTCATTTTTACTCTGAGAAATACAAGACTACAGTTGAACACTTAGTTAACCTCAAGACAGTAAAAGGGGCTAAAAATTATTTTTAAATCAATTTATTGGCTGGGCACGGTGACTCACGCCTGTAATCCCAGCACTTTGGGAGGCCGAGGTGGGTGGATCACCTGAGGTCAGGAATTCGAGACCAGCCTGGCCAAGATGGTGAAACACACTCCAGCCTGGGCAACAGAGCAAGACTCCATCTCAAAAAAAAAAAAAAAAAAAGAAAAAGAAAAATGATGGAAACTTCTACATGAGACTTATATTAGGTCTTCTATTGTTACTTTAACAAATTGCCCCAATTTTAGCGGCTTAAAACATAATGTTGTCATCTGACGGTTCTATTGGTCTGAAGTCCACCTGGTCTCACTGGGCTAAAATTAAGGCATCAGCAGGGCTACGCTCCTTTCGGGAGGCTCTAGGAGGGGAATCTACTTCCTTTCCAGCTTCTAGACGGCACGTACATTCCTTGGCTTCTGACCCTTCCCTTCCCATCTTCAAAAGCAGCAGTGTCTAGTCAAGTCTTTCTTAAAAGTCTCTGTGACGCGGACTCTTTCTTGCCTTCCTCTTCCACATTTAGGGATCTTTGCGATTACCTTGGGCCCACCCAGAAATGCAGGATCCTCTTCCTGTTTTAAGGTCGGCTGATGAGCAAACTTAATTCCCTTTTGTTTTGTAACCTAACAAATACACAGGTTCTGAGGATACGTGGTAGGAAGGGGTGTTATTCTGCCAACTTCTTTTGTGAGGACTGTGTCTATTTGGCAAATACTTTTTTTTTTTTTTTTTTTTGAGACAGTCTTGCTGTCACCCAGGCTGGAGCACAGTGATGCAATCATGGCTCACTGCAGCCATGCTGGAGGGTAGTGCTCAAACCAATATTAATTTACAAAGGATGGGAGCTAGAGTGATTCTCCAAAGACAAGATTGCCACAGAGTAGGTGGGGTCCTGCTCATCTGAGCGATGGTGGTCTGCACTGGCAGAAAGCAGGTTAAGTCCATTCTGAAGACACCCAGCATCGTGGTGTCCTGGCTGCCCAACCTCCACTGGTGAGACCTGAAGTTCTTATGTATATAGAAAAGCAATAAAGCCCCCCTGTGCCAATGGAACTCCTAAGCCAGTGGTGATGCTGAGTTAGAAAGTCACACCCTCAGCCGGGCACGGCAGCTCACGCCTGTAATCCCAGCACTTTGGGAGGCCGAGGCAGGCGGATCACGAGGTCAGGTGATCGAGACCATCCTGGCTAACACAGTGAAACCCCGTCTCTACTAAAAATACAAAAAATTAGCCGGGCCTGGTGGCAGGCACCTGTAGTCCCAGCTACTCGGGAGGCTGAGGCAGGAGAATGGTGTGAACCCAGGAGGCGGAGGTTGCAGTGAGCTGAGATTGTGCCACTGCGCTCCAGCCTGGGCAACAACAGAGCAAGACTCTGTCTCCAAAAAAAAAAAAAAAAAAAAAAAGTCACACACCATTACAGACAGAATTTACACCAGGGGCAAGGCCTGACCATCACACCCTCGTGAGAGCTACCAGTCAGCAGGGCTTGGATGGGAGCAACACAGTGGACATAGGATCACCTTCTCTCCACAATCACCCAAAGATACCTTTTTATTTTTTTGAGACGGAGTCTCACTCTGTTACCCAGGCTAGAGTGTGCAGTGGCGTGACCCCAGCTCACTACAACCTCCACCTCCCGGATTCAAGCGATTCTCCTGCCTCAGCCTCCTGAGTAGCTGGGATTACAAGCCTGTGACACCACACCCACCTGGCTAATTTTTGTTATTTTCAGTAGAGACGGGGTTTCACCATGTTGGTCAGGCTGGTCTCGAACTCCTAACCTCGTGATCTGCCCACCTCGGCCTCCCAAAGTGCTGGGATTACAGGCGTGAGCCACTGCACCCGGCAGAGTACAACCCTTTTAAAAGAGCTAAGGCAGGCCAACATCAGGGTGACCTCTTGGCAAAATAAAAACTATGAATAGAAATGGCTGATTCCAGCTACTCAGGGGGCTGAGGAACGAGAATCACTTGAACCCAGGAAGCAGGGGTTACAATGAGCCGAGATCACGCCACTACACCCCAGCCTGGGCAACTGTGCGAGACTCCATCTCAAAAAAAAAAAAAAAAAAAAAAAACGGCTGGTTCCTGTTTACACCAAGCACATTGCTATAGTGTTGCTCAAGGTCAGGAGGGATTTGTTTCTCCATCAAAGGAGGAGGTGCCCAGAAGGCGCTCACTCAAATCCAGAACACTGCCTCTTGGGCTTTCCACGGCCTCTCCCATTATGTACCTCAAGGTTGAATCCAGGAAAGAAAGGCAGGCCAAGTTCACGTCCTGAGGGAAGTGGCCCAAGTAGGTCCTTGTAGCACACACTTGTACAACTACTGACCTGGCCAACGCTTGCGGGTCAGGGCTCAGAGCCAGGGAAACCGTCTGAAGTGCCTGCCTCACCTCTGCCCAGTGGGCAGCTGTGGACACCATGGCCACCTGACCAGCATCCACTCTTTTTGACTGAGGGGAATCACCACCCTTCCCATGACAGGGGCGGGTGCAGGTATGGGCAGATGACTCATTGCCCAGCAATGGAGGCTTCTGGAAGTTTCCCTGAGACACAAAAAGGCTTTTCTTCCTCTGGAATGTTCTAGGGTCTTGATATGCTGCCTGGAACTGTTACTGCCACCTTTGTACTAGCCTTGATAAAGCCAACACTTTATCAAGGGGATGTGTTGATGATGTGGGGATGATGAAGATAATGCTTCCTTGACGGGCTGCTGAACCAGGCCCTAATCAGGCCTTCCTGCCATGTGAGACTGAACTTTCTGGCCATCAAGGCCTGCCTGGGCTGGGATGTCTGTAGGAGGCGTGTACAGGCTGAATGATCATGAAAATGTCCCAGTCAGAACCTGTCTTTTGGGATGCAAAAGGCTAGGTGAATGCAAAGAAGGTGGTCACAGATGGTCATGTGCGACTTCAGCCACTGGACCTGGAGCTCTCTGAGGCTTGCTGTAGAGTCCAGACTTGGAAACACCGTCCCAACAGCTAATGAGGCAACTTCCCGTGTCATCTCCACATGTTCATCTCCTCCTGGCATTCAATATCCACCTACAGAAGTCACCTGGGATTCTCTTCCTTGTGATAAAAAAGAATCTCATCAGATACATCCCAGGGGCTGGGCACGGTGGCTCACACCTGTGATCCCAGCACTGGGGGGCCGAGGCAGGAGGATGAGTTGAGTCCAAGAATCTGGGACCAGCCTGGACAATATAGTGAGACCCCATCTCTAAAAAAATTTTAAAAACTAGCTGGTTGTTAGTTGTTGCAATAAGCCATGATATGCCACTACACTCCAGCCTGGGTGACAGAGTGAGACTCTATCTCAAAACACACACACACACACGTCCCTGGGAATCTGTCATTGGTTCATTTGCAGGACTAATCACTCTTCCTAAAATGCCTTGTTCAGAATCCAGTCAAAGCACAAAAAGACAAAATCCTACCTCAGCACTTAGGGCCGAAGGGAGGCCAGTGGAAAAGGCAGGACGGGTTTAAAGGTGCATTTCCCAGCAGCAGCAGCAGCAGCAGCAGCAGCAGCTCAGCCACATGTGTTTGGCAACAACTCAGACCCCTCGCTGCCCACAGCTGCTCTATGACGGGGGAAAGGAAAAGGGAGGAAAAGGAGCTTGCAATTCTCCGTTCCTCATTCACTCCACTTTTTATCAGAGATGCAGACTTTTGTCATAGAACTTTTTCCTCAATCCAAAGACATTTCCATCCCCAACGAGGATTCTGGTGGAAATTCCCTAAAGGGAACATTCAGAGTGGCGAAGAGAAAACTTAGGGCTTCGGGTACAAAAGTACAACACCCGGCACTTAGTGGCTGGGTGACCCCAGGCAATTTTATTACTTTATCCCTGAACCTCACTTGCCTCATCTATAAGACGGGGCTAATAATAGCACCCATTTCATAATTATGAAGATTAAATACGTTATGGAAAACACTAGTATTTGCCTAGCACCTGCTAAACACTCAACAAAGGTTAACTGTACATATCGACGTCTCAAACAGGGACGGAATGTTTAACACAGAAAACAGGAGGTTTTAGCCACTCACTCGTTCTCCTGGCTCCCGAAATATGAGCTGCCCCACCCCAGTTCATCCAAGCCCATCAAGATAGTTGTCCTTGTCCTTAATCTCCACAGGTGTTCAATGTGAGCCAACTGTCAGATGGCTTTCATTTGCACAACTGAATAAACCATTTATGCCTAGTGTTCCATTACTGGAACGCTAAGCTTATGGGAGTTATTTATATCCTGCTGCTCGAGGTCATCACCAAGATCTGATTTTTCACAAAAAGAAATATAATCTCCAGCATAAATGTAATAATCAAAGCAATTGTGGCAGTTTTTGGGGGACAAAACTCTAGAGTTTAATCTTCCAGCTTGACTGACTTGGAAGCGTTCCTGTCAATGTAAAAGATCTTGTTGGGGGCAGTGGAGAAACCAAGGCCGGCTCCGCGGCTGTGGCTGTACTTCCAGCTCATGGCCCGGTCGTAGTCCCGCTGCAGGTTCTGCTGCAGGCTGTCAGCCGCCTTCTTGCTGAGGGCCATGTTGGGTCTTGCAGTCGTGCTGGGGGCGCGGTTGGACGGAGGAGGGGACAGGTTTTTGAAGCCACCCATAAGTCTGAGAAATTTCAGTTTCTGGTCTTCGTTCTCAAAACCAGCAGTATCCCACTGGCCAAACTGGGTTCCCTGGGAAGAGAGGAAGAAGGTGGCTATTTCCCTTGAGTCCAAAGCCCTTTGCTTCCCTTGACCCCAGCCTCATCAGGGAGGGCCCAGCAGATTAGACGGCTGCTGTGTACCAGGCACAGTGCTAATAAGCTCAATAGTGGATTATTCCATTAATCCTAACGACAGCCCTATGAGAACACTGCTGTTATTCCCATTGCACGGAGGAGGAAATAAAGGTCTGCAGCTTAGCTGGAGACAGAAACCTAACTAGTGACCCCCAGAATTCAAGCCCAGGTCCAGCCAACACCACTGCCCACCTCTGCACACAGAGCTGCCTTTCTGCCTTCCTCCTCGTTTCCTAACTCATGGCACACAGCCCAGTGTGCCTCACTTCACAACACAGCACACTCCCCCCACCTCCCACACAGCGCACCTCCCCCCACCGCATACCTCCCCCCACCACCCTACACAGCGCACTCCCCCAGCCTCCCTTCACAGCGCACCTCCCCCTGCCTCCACCCACAGCGCACTCCCCCAACCACCCCACACAGCGCACCTCCCCCTACCTCCGCACCCCTCACCGTGCACCTCACAAGACAGCATACCTCCCCCACGTCCCCACAGGGCGCACCTCCCCTGCAACACAGGGCACCCCAGAGCCCAGCAGCCGGGCCCTCAACCAGCAGCCTAACGTTGGGTGAGTTGGAGGGTGGGAGAGGGCGAGTGGGAATCTGAAGTGTGCTTCTCAGAAGCACTGTTTTATAGCGGGAAGGGGTGCAGGCCCACAGGGGTAAAGGTCACACAGCCAAGTCAGACTGAGCCAAGCCCAGGAACTCGGGGGTCCCCATTCCAGCCAGAGTGCTCTACCACCTATGTGTGAGAAAATGCAGGAGAGCCCCTCCAGACCCCCTTCTTCCCAGGTCGGCGAGAGAGGAAAGAAACTCACCTCCCGAGGAGACTGACTCTGAAGTCAGGCAGACCCGGGAGGAAGCCTCCCGTGGGTGACCCTGCTCAAGTCCCCTCATCTCTCTGAGCCTCAGCGTCTTCATCCCTAAGGTGGGGCCATAACATCCCCTCATAGGGCTTCAGTGAGACATATGGCAGATTTGACACCAAAAGCCCAGTGCACAATGCATGGCACACCCGAAGCCCTCAGGGACTGGCCACTCCTCTCCCCCTACCCCAACCAGACTGCAGACCTCCATGCCGCCTGGAAACTTTCCACTCCCAAGCCAGATACCAGCCCAGCACTTACTCCTGGGTTGGCTTTGGGAGAATAAGAACCAGTTGTCGCTACAGCTGACCTGAGTGAAGCAGTGACACATTCTCCCAGCTTCATGGTGGCCCAGATGCAGGAATAATGACAGCTCCCCTGCCCTGCAGTTTCTAGAGTGAGAGGCTGTCTATGACCACCCCACATGGGTTTTAGGGAGAGCAGGAGGCTGCTAGCTGGTCCTGGGTGAACCGGCACTTCTGACGGCTGCTGCCCACCCAGAGAGCCACTTCACCACACGTCTCAGTGGCACGGCATGTCCTAGGCCCTGTGCCCCAGGATCACTCTCCTGACGTCCTTCCAGGGACAGCCCCCAGGACATCGGCTCCAAATCACATTGCCATTTTTCTTGTCTTCCCTATTCAAGCTGGATGTCCCATCAGCTGGGCTCAGCTCAGCTCAGCAGGGTGGCATGCAGAGAAAGGGAGGCAGGACCCATAACAAAGCCCCACTCCATACCCCACCAGGCCAGGGTACGAGTCCCATTTTACAGGCGTGGACAGAGGCTCAGGGGAAGGTACTTGGCCAGAGTCCCACCACTAGACAGTGGCGGAGCCAGTAGTGATTTCAGATCTTTTGATTCTTTTCTGAATGCTCTGACAGAGCCGGAAGGCCAGCCTCACTGGTCACCCAGACCCTTCTTTTCCTCTCCCCGAAATCCAATCTATGAACAAGTCCCGCCAGCTGCGCCTCCAAAGGAAATCACCAAGCTGTTTTCTTTGTCTATCCTCTGCCACCATCCTCAGGCTGGGCTGCAGCCTAGGGGCTGAGCCTTCTACCAGGTCTTCCCGCTTGCCAGTCAGTGCCCTTCAGCTGATCCCACTTAGCCAGATCCCAGGCCAGCTCTCTACCATGGCCGATGAGGCCGAGGCCTGTGGCCTGCAGCCCTCTTGTCCCTCGTCCCAGCTGCAGTGCCGTGCCTCACTGGCCTTCCCTACAGATCACTCCAGACCCCTTCCTACCTTAGGGGTCTGCACCGGCCACTGGCCTCACTGAAACGCTCTTCCCCTGGTCTCCTGAGGGCTGGGGCCCCTGCACCCTGAACATCTCTGGACACGCGTTACCATCTCCGAGCCCTCGCCCATCGGTTGCAGCCCCCGCCCGCAGTCTCTCTCCAACTCACTGTACTGTTTCCTTCTCCTGACCGCTACTGCCACCTCAACTGATCTTCCTTTCCTTGTTTGCTGAGCACTTTCCTGCCACGCTCACCCAGCTCTGGCCTCTAGACCGTGAGTGCAATGATGGGGATCACATGGGCTTTGTCTGCTCCATGTCCAGCACCCAGCACAGAGCTCCACTGAACCCCAGCAGGGCCCCAGCTTGCCAACCTCGCACTCTCCGGCCTCATGATCCTCACACCCTCCTCCCTCCTGAGAGATCTTCTCAGGCCTGGCTTGGACATTTCCCAGTCAGAGTGGATCTGAAAACCAGGCCTGAGAGAGGCCACTGCCACCCCTCACCTCTGCCTCTGGCCCCTGTTCCTAACAGCCCCTCGAGGGCATGGTCCACCGCTGGCAAGAGCTCGCTGGAATGTGTCCTCGGTGATTAATCCTTAGGACACCACACCAGTCCAGGGCTGAGACAAAGGTTCAGGCAGCTTATCTCACGGGTCAGCTCTCTAGGAGGGAGGCAAGTGCCCCTTTCAGAAGGAAGGAAATTAGCTCAGCACAAATTGTGCTGTGGAGGGAGCCAGCTGCAGGCTGGGGCTGCCTCTGGGGCCTGGACACACTTGGTTCTCCTGCTCCACTCCTCATGCTGGAGGCGAGGGGAGGTGTCGGGAGGTTGAGCGTGCCACCTCCTCGCAGAGCCCTAGCCCCAAACTTACCGTCCACTTCCTGGTTTCAGAAGCTTCCGTTTTGCCTGACTCGCGATCAATCTCTTCTTGCAAGGCCTTTCGCCTCACCTGAGCAAGAAGGATAACAGAAGGGGGCCATCAGACACAGAGATCTTCTTTCAAGTTTAAAACCCAGGACAGAGACGGGGCTGGGGGAACGGAGCATGGGAGGAACTAGCGCAGCTTGACTCTGCTACAAACGATAGGAAGCTACTATCAAAATATTCTCTTAGCATCTCAAGAGCTGTAGCCCCTTGGCCTATACTGGGCAGGGTCATTTATCCTCTTTAGCCTCTTAAGAATGAATTTTCCTAGAAACTGAGGCTTAATCACCTTCACCATTAGAACAGTTTTTGTTTATAGCAGCCATGTGAGATGGAGACTTTCCCAAAATGCAACACCGAAGCACCGCCTTCTTGTGCAGAGGACACCATAGTTAACTTTTGTGACAGTAAAAGTGTTTTCTACAAAGAAAACAGGCTGTGGAGTCAGGCAGAGGGTGGTCTGTATGTATATATGTATTTACTGAGACAGAGTCTTGCTCCATCACCCAGGCTGGAGTATAGTGGTGCGATCGCGGGTCACTACAACCTCTGCCTCGCAGGCTCAAGCGATTCTTCCGCCTCAGCCTCCCAGGAGCTGGGACTACAGGTGTGCGCCACTGCACCTGGCTAATTTTTATATTTTTAGTAGAGAGATGATTTCGCCATGCTGGCCAGGCTGGTCTCGAACTCCTGGCCTCAAGCAATCCACCCGTCTTGGCCTCCCCAAGTGCTGGGATTACAGGCATGAGCCACGTGCCTATCCAGAGGCTAGTTTGAATCCCCGCACTGCCATTAACTAGCTGTGTGGCCTTGGGTAAGTCACTCAACCTTTCTAAACACTGGTCTATTTAACCACAATAGATGGACCTATCAGCTACCTTGACGGGTAATTAAGAAAAACAAGGGTAAATAAGAAAAATATCTATGTAGATATCTAAGAAGAATATCTACGTAAATATCCAGTAGAGCACCTGGTTCCATCTCATACGTGGTTGCCAGCATGGCTCAAGGCCGCCACTGGAGCACCAACTGAGCAATTAATTGCTGCTATTTATTACGCACAGATATGAGGCCGGCCACTGCCGACTGCCTCACAAACATGGCCTCACTTGGTTTTCACAGCAGCCTGTGACGGTCCATGCTGTCAGGAGCCCCACTTCACAGACGGGGAAAACGAGGGTCGGTGAGATCAGTGCCTGCCCAGGTCCCCCGGTCAGTAATGGTCTAACACCAGGCCCATATGGCTACCCCTATGTCCTGCCAGGCCTCAGGGTCCAGGATCATAAAAATCCCCCAAGTTGCCGGGCACAGTGGCTCACGCCTGTAGTCCCAGCACTTTGGGAGGCTGAGGCGGGTGGATCACCAGGTCAGGAAATCGAGACCATCCTGGCTAACATGGTGAAACCCCGTCTACTAAAAATACAAAAAAAAAAATTAGCTGGGTGTGGTGGTGGGCCTGTAGTCTCAGCTGCTCGGGAGGCTGAGGCAGGAGAATGGCGTGAACCCGGGAGGTGGAGCTTGCAGTGAGCCGAGATCATACCACTGCACTCCAGCCTGGGTGACAGAGCAAGACTCCGTCTCAAAAAAAAAAAAAAATCCCCTAAGGCCAAAAAGTCCAGTTCCTGCAGGGATGCATTTGCCAGGGAATCTGGGCACGACAGAAGCAGAAGCTGATTCACAACAAAACTTCTCCTCTGAATGCTCCTGAATTAGCCCAGGGGGTGGCAGCATGTGGGCCTGGCTGAGCATGTGTCACCTGCCCAGCTGCAGGGTCTTAGGGACATGTCCCCCACATCCTGCAGCAAGTAACAGGGAATGGCCAGTCGGGCCTCTCGGCCACGGCCACGGCAGCCAGAAGGGCCCCCAGCGTGAGGATGGGGAAAGCACGCATTCCCTGCCCGGGAGGTGTGCGTTGGCGGTTAGCCCAGTGGCCTCTGGAGTCCCTGGTACCCCTGAGACCAGGATCACATAGCCAGTCTGGCAGGCGGCAAGTGAGACTCCAGGGGTGGCAGGAGGCAGTGGGAGGGGCCTGAGGAGGGTCTGGGCTATACCTGGTCTATGTGCGCCTCATCCATGTTGCCTTTCTTTTCCAACACCACCTCTAAGTCCGTGTCTGTTTCCTGCAGGAGAGGGCAGAGCTGGGTAAGGTTCAAGTTTACAACGAATGGCCTCTGCCCCTGCACCCAGCGGGGTGAGACCATGACAAAGTCCAGAAAAGACCTCAGACCATGGCATCACCCCCAGCCCTGCCACCTAGAAACATCTCATAGTCAGCAAAGTCCTTCCCATCCCTTCTCTTCCACAATTCTCCTGCAAAACAGTAGTATTAACCTATTTGACAGATGAAGAAACTGAGGCTCAGACAGGTAAAGTGACTACAAGGTTACCCCATGGCTCAGGGACCTGTTGATTCTAACCCACATCTCCCGACCCAGGGCTTTGTGTCCAACCTTTCCCACTACACACGTCACTTACCTCCTATGCTGACACCAAACTAGAGGACAGAGGCTGAAGACCACACTAAATGCACCACGCTCTCCCACCCGCCTTGGCCCTGAAGACCCCCCAACAGCGAGACCTCAGGCCAGCCACTCTCTTGGGGTTCTTCGGTAATGACAAATGCTGACATTTCACGCGTCCTCACTTGAGAAGCGGGCTCTGCCTGGCACCTAGCGTCACGTGTGTGATGACCCTGGAGGCCCTCTCCATTCCCATCACTCATCCAGGCCCGGAACACATGTGCATTTGCCGGACTGGGTGGGCTGCTGTGGGAGGTACAGTCCCCCTCACAGATGTTAAGCAGAGGGAACTCCCTTTCACTGAGCTCCTGGGAGACGGGATTCTAGAGTCTGATGGTGGCTACGCCCAAGCTTCTAGGGTTCCTCCCAACTCCAAGTTTCTGAATAAAGGAAGATGCTGGTAAACCAAGGCTAATGGACTAGTGCAAAGCTGGAGAAATCCCGCAACCAAAGCTAACACCTGGAGGCCTTTGATATGGAGGCCACCCCTCCCCTCCCTTCCCCCTCTAACCAAGCAATGGCTGGTTCAAGGTCACCCAGCAGACTGCTGCAGAGTTGGGAAGAGAATCTGGGGTTTATGCTAATAGAAGACAGTCATTTCTGGGGCTCCAATAATACCTGCTTCTGTAAGAGATTACATAGATGATTTCTGAGAAGGGATAAATGCTAACTTCAGAAGCCAGACTAGCTGAGTTTGAATCCCAGCTCCACCTCTTGCCAGCTGCCTGACCTTAGACAAGGTATTAAGTCTCTGGAGCCTCAGTTTCCTGATCTGTTAAATGGGGGTGCCCACAGCAGCTACCTCACCAGACAGGTAGGAGGATGAAATGGGTTGATACATGGCAGTCTGGGCATACAGTAAGCACTCAAGAAATGTCAGCCACCGGCCACACGGAAGGGCCGGACACTGTCTGGAGCAGGACACACACCCTGAAACAAGACACACACCATCTTGTTTCTGCCCACACGTCCGCACACACCTGAGGATGGGAATGGGGGCCTGGCCCTGGAAGGGGCTCAGCTGGGAAAGGCTGTGGGTCTGGGGAGCCCCCAGCCCTCCGGCTCGCCTCAGGTCTCCCTCTCTCACTCCAGGCAGCCTGGCAGGCTGAAGACAGCGGGTGTCTGTGCTTTTCACCAAGCCATCATCTGCTCCTTCCCTCCTGGTAACAGAACTCCAGTTTTCCTCTCAGAAACTGCCTTCCCGCATCTCAGACAGTGTGGTTTAGTTGTGACTGACACCCCCTGCCCTTCACCTCAAGTTTTTCTTTTTTTGAGACAGTCTCACTCTGTCACCCAGGCTGGAATGCAGTGGTGTGATCTTGGACCACTGCAACCTCCACCTCCCAGGTTCAAGCGATTCTCGTGCCTCAGCCTCATGAGTAGCTGGGAATACAGGCGCCTGCCACCATGCCCAGCTAGTTTCTGTATTTTTAGTAGAGACGAGGTTTCACCATGTTGGCCAGGCTGGTCTCGAACTCCTGGCCTCAAGTGATCTGCTTGCCTTGGTCTCCCAAAGTGCTGGAATTATAAGCATGAGCCACCACACCCGGCCACCTTTGGTTTTAGATTAGAGCTTCTGGATAGACTGATCCAACTGAGGCCTGTGACAGTGGCCCTGAGATTTCTGTCATAGTTTTACAGGGGCCACCTTCTTCCTTTGGGGGTAGCTGAACTGCTGGGATGAAAGCCTGGAGCTGCCGGGACCATCAAGCCACGATGTGATGGAAGAGGAGGAGGAGGATGGGCCATAAACCAAGATAGAAAACTACAAAGCCCAGAGCTGAGGAAGTCTCACACAGGCATCTCCTGCTACCCAAATCTATTTGATTTATAAATTTTGTATACTGAGCTCTGATGATACTCAGATAGCCACGGGCACTGTTATCTCACGTTACTTGGTTCCTGAGTTTTGGATAGCAAGTGGCAAGAGTTCAGAAAGCAAGGGATTCATCTGTAAAATTAATCCCAGTTAATTCAGACCCTGATGGCAGACAGGGAAAACTTGGCTGGTTTCAGTAGCAAAGGATACCTGCAATTATCAATGATGCTGCATGAGCCCCTGGATCCAGCCATACCTGAAGCTAGTTTAACCATAACCTTTTCAATTGCATGTCAATAAACTCCCTATTCCGGCTGAAATTAATTTAACCAGGGTTTTAGCTATAAGCATGAGTACTCGTGCATGTGCAAACATGCACACATGCCTACACACCCCTCCCAAGCCCCACCCTTGATTCTCCCATGGCAGAGTCCATTTCTGAAGGAAAACCTACCTCCTTCCAAGGGTCTCCTGCTACCCCACTCTCTTTCCTCTTCTTCTTCTTCCTTTTGAGAGCTGGCTCCTCGATGACTGGCTGCTCTACCTTCTTCTTGGACTTCATCTTTTTCTTTGCAGAGGCCTTAGGATCATCACTTCTGGGGATGTATTCCGGAGCCTCAGCTTTGACTAGCTTCTTTTTACTTCCTTTCCTAGGGCTGCTCTCCATGGACCGGGAGGGCTTGGAGTGGCCTGGGAGGGTGTCTTCCTCCTGGTGGATTTTTTTTTTCTTCTTCACCTTCCCGTTGTGTTCTCTGGGGCTCTTCCGCTTCCGTTTCTGCCCCAAGGCTGCCTGTCCCTCATCCTTCTTTCCCACTGAGCAGGTGTCCGCAACATCCCTGGCCTCCCTGGCCTCGCAGAACCAAGGGTCCTGGACTGAGAAGGCTGTGGCATCCCGGGCTCCCTTTTTCTCCTTCTTGTGTTTTTTGAGCTTCTTGCCAACTCTGGTTTCGTCCTCACTCTGTCTGGGGTCTGGGGAGGTTTTCACCCCAGAGGCATGGGACACGGCCAGAGGTGACTTCTTTTTCTTCTCCCCACTGAGGAACTCCAAGTGGCCAAGCACCTGCTTCCTGGGGCTGGGTGACTTCTCTGCCCGTCTGGCATGCAGCATTGTCTCAGGTTCCACATGCCCCTCGCAAGGGGTGCTGAGACCCGTCTTTTTCTTCTTCTTTTTCTTCACTGGAGGCATCTCAGGCGCCTGCCCATGGACCACACTCTTAGAGGGGGATGTGGCTCTTACAGAAGAAACATCGGCCAAGTAATCATCATTGTTTACAACTGAGTATCGAGTCCCTGGTTCTTTGACCACTTTCTTCTTCTTTTTCTTCTCTGGGACCCCAGGGTCTACTCTGTGTGTCTTGGTGATCATTCCTGAAAAAACAAATGGTACAAGTTACCCCTATACCAAGCCATCCTGTGTTCCGTTCTACTAAGCATTGCCAAGAGCCATGTTTCTTTGAGTGGGCGGACTAAGCATTACGGGATAGGGAAAATGGACATGATTCCTTTAGAGCAAAAAAAGAAATACTATAGAAACAGCATAAATTTTATATCCAGACAGCCCTAGGTTCAAACCTAAATGGTTCTCTCACCTTAAGTAAATCAGCTAACCTCCCTGAGCCTCAATTTCTTCATCTGGAAAATGGGGGAATATAACACCTCCTTCCTCAAAAGGGTGTTGAAAAGAGTAAATGAGACAACGCATGAAAAGTGCTTGGTACATTGTGAAATCCCTTTTTCTTTTTTCTTTTTTTTTTTGGAGACAGAGTCTTGCTCTGTCGCCCAGGCTGGAGGGCAGTGGCATGATCTTGGCTCACTGAAACCTCCGCCTCTGGGTTCAAGTGATTCTCCAGCCTCAGCCTCCCCTGAGTAGCTGGGATAACAGACACCCGCGATCACACCCAGCTGATTTTTTTTTTTTTTTCCTTTTTAGGAGAGACGGGGTTTCACCATGTTGGCCAGGCTGGTCTCAAACTCCTGACCTCAAGTGATCCGCCTGCTTCAGTCTCCCAAAATGCTGGGATTACAGGCATGAGCCACCTTGCCTGGCCTAGTTTCACTGTTTTTAAAATGTGAAGTTGATTGCCAACACTGAATGAGTCACAGTGATACACAGTACTGAGGGCACCCAGCTTGTCTTGGACAGATACCATGGAAGCACCTGTGAGAAACGGCTGTGGGGTCCTCAATACCCTTCAGCGTCCAGCTGGACCACTTCTCTCACTCCAGTCCCCAGCCAAGTTCCTGCTGCTCCCTGCACTAGACATTCCCAGAATCTAGAAGCAAAATATCCCAAAATATCTAACAGGCAGTTAGGATTATGGGAGAGAAAAGAAAAGCTTCTCCATCCTGCAGCCCTCCTCAGCTTCAGAACCTACAGGGTCCACACTGGAGCTGGCTCACTGTTAAGAGCTTCAAAGAGCCAGGCCAGGCCTGAGCTACAGGTCAAGTTCATTCATAACTCACTCCAGGAGCACCTTGAAGAGTCAAGGGAATAACTATACTCATTCATTCCTGTCTGCCCTGTTTCCTGGTTTATTTCTAGCATCCTGCTCAGTGCCTGGCACATATCAGGTGCTCAATAAATACTCACTGAATGAATGAATACATGCTAGAGAGACAGAGATGAACAACATAAACCACCACCCATCAAGAAGCAAGTAGGTGTGGAAGGAAGTAAGGTTTAATAACAAGGATACAAGTGATAAAAGCAAGTGGTAAGGTCAGGGTGGTAGAGGTTGTATAACCTGTCCTAGCAGTTGTCAGGAAAATTTCTGAAGAACAACTGCAGGATGGTGCTACTAATCCCTGAGACAAAGGTACTGAAGGCAAGCGGCTGAAGGGACAGGCTTGATTGGACAGATGCTTTGGAGATGTTCACTGGACAGGTGAATATATGGATGAGGTGTGTTTGGGTGGCCGTGCTGACATGGGCGACATAAAGTTAGGAATGTATGGGTGGTGATTAAGCCTTGAACAGAACAAGCCTGAGACAAGACCTCAAAAAATACAGTAGTCCCCGGCCCAATCCCAGGTTTCCCATTCCCAGGTTTCAGTTACCCCGGTCAACCCTGGTCCCAAAATAGGTGAGCACAGCACACCAAGTTATCTTGAGAGGGAGATCACACGCGTGCAAATTTTATTACAATATACTGTTGTAATTGTTCTATTTTATTACTAGCTAGATTGTTGGTAATCTTTTACTGTACCTAATTTTTTGTGAGACAGGATCTCACTCTGTTGCCCAGGCTGGAGTGCAGTGGCATGATCTCGGCTCACTGCAACCTCCACCTCCCCGGTTCAAGCAATTTTCACACCTCAGCCTCCTGAGTAGCTGGGATTACTGGCATATACCACCACGCCCGGCTAATTTTTGTATTTTTAGTAGGGACGGGGTTTTACTACGTTGGTCAGGCTGGTCTCCAACTCCTGGCCTCAAGTGATCCGCCCACCTCGGCCTCCCAAAGTGCTGGGATTACAGGTGTGAGCCACCGCACCCTGCCCTACTGTGCCTAACTTATAAACTTTGTCACAGGTAGTATACAAAAGAAAAAACATAGTTATATTTAGGGTTCGGTACTATTTGTGGTTTCAGACATCCACTGGGGGTTTAGGAACGTACTGCCCGGGGATAACGGGGGAGGGGGACTATTGTATTGGCATTTAAATAAGTGGGCAGAGATAAAAGAGCTTGCAAAGAAGGTGCAAACCTTGAAATAGTGTAGTCAAGAAAGCCAAGACGACTTCAGAAGAGGGGAGTGGCCAAGAGATCTGGTAAGAACAAAGAATCCACCGGGAGGTTGCGGGTCAACTCTTAATCCCCTTCTCTCCCCATCTCTGCCATTTAGAAAAGTACAGATAGCATCCTCCTCTTGAGCCCTGCGACCAAATGCATTCACTCTTTCAAAGAGAAAGGAAAAGAACATTACAGTGCATGTCCTGCAAACACATATGCTTTCTACAAAAGCGCTTTTAAATTCCCGCGGCAGCTTTGTGAGGATCATTGTGAATACCCGACCTCACAAGCTCCAGAGACTAATAATTCACTTGCCCTAGGTTCCAAAGCCATCAAGTGGAAAACAGGAGATTGGAATTCCGCCCACAGGACTCCAAACCCAGTGCAGCAACACCCCACTCCCCCGTAGGATCACCGGCAGGACGCGCGGGAGCCAGGAAGTGAGATCGGTGCCTCCAGGGCTCCCATGCGCCCAAGCCTCCGCAGCAAACAGACTGGGAGGAATTACGTGGGGTCCCAGGCCCGGCTCTGAGGCGGGAAAACTTTCTGGAGGCGGCGGCCTCAGGCCGGAGCAGGCGCGCACCGACTGAAGGGGTCGGATTTAGGGATGCGGGTGGCCCGCATTTCCCCGACTTCTCCGCCGCGCATTTCCTCTGGTGTAATCTCCAGACCCCGCGCCGGCCCGCCTGCAACGCATCCTGGCACTCACCGGTGGGCGAAATTTCCCCGCCTCCACGTGAGAGCCCGCTCCGCCGCGACCCGGAAGTCCACTTCGAGTCGCCGGCCCACCCTCTCGGGTTCCGGTTTCTTCCGGGTCGCGGCCTCCCGGCGAACGCGGTTACCGTGGAAACCGCGGCCATGGCTGCACCGCGGCAAGTCCCCAGCCACACAGTGCCCCGTAAGCCCAGCTGCTCTACAGACTCGTCGTTCACCCGGACGCCGGTGCCCACCGTGTCTCTCGGTTCCCGCGAGCTGCCTGTCTCGCCGTGGCAGGTCGCCGAGCCGTCAAGCAAGAATCTGTGGGAGCAGATCTGCGACGGTAGGCAGCCCGGGCTGGCCGAGAGGGGCGGGACCCGGGTGGGGGCCACGTTTGAGGAGCGCCCACTGTGCGCCTGGCGGCTGACGGGCGGGGCCGCCGGGCAGCAGCTCCGCGGGCCCGGGCTCCTCATTTTACGCACGGAGAAACTGAGGCTCGGAGAGGCTAGCCCGCGGTTACGCAGCGCGGCCTCCAATCGCCATCGGTAGTGAGGTCAAAGGCAAGGGAACGGCGAGGGAAAGCTGAATAAAGAGAACCATGCGGTGTGGACCAGTGGTTCTTAAACTTCATTTAGTGAACAGAAAAGAATTGCTGGGTCAGGGGCGGGGATCTTGTTAAAAATGTAGGCTCCCAGGCCCCGCCCACAGAGCTTCAACTTGGGATGCAGGGAATCTGCACTTTTTAAAAAAGAGCGCCCCAGGTAATCCTAAAGTAAGTAGTCGGCGGCCCACACGTTCCGTAACCATGGTGTGGACAAACGGTAAGTATTAGTCCCTTCTTGCTTCAAACCTTCCTTAACCTCCCCAAACGGAGTTGAGCACATCTTCCTTTGTGGCCCTTCTCAGTATTCGTTACTCAGGTTGGGCAAATTATTTAACTTGTTACCCTGTCTGCAAAGTGGGCATAATAATGACACCTATTTCGATGGTGTTAGGAAGATGGAACCAGATAGTCACAAAAAGTGCTTAGTGAACAGCGTGATTTTAGGAGTGCAAAAGGCTTATTGGGAAAAGAAACAAAAACTGCTCGATTTACAGAAGGAGCTGGTTAAGCGCTAGTTCTTAATGAATAATGTTGGCTGGTGGTGGTTTTTTTTTTTTTTTCTCCACTAGACCATAAGCTCCTCAAGTTCAAACACTCAGATTTTTAATTCATGTGGCCACCATCACTACCTAAGCTGCCTGAAACGGCGCGGTGAAACCCCGTCTCTACTAAAAATACAAAAAAAAAAAAAAAAATTATCCGGGCGTGGTGGTGTGCGCCTGTAATCCCAGCTATTTGGGAGGCTGAGGCAGGGGAATCGCTTGAACCAGGAAGGTGGAGGTTGCAGTGAGCCGAGATCGCGCCACTGCACTCCAGCCTGGGTGACAGAGAGAGACTCCGTCTCAAAAAAAAAGAAAAAAAAAAAGTGGTTATTTAACATTTGAAATGTGGTTAGTGCAATTGAGGAACTGAATTTCTTGTTGGACCTAATTTATTTATTTATTTATTTATTTATTTTTTGAAAGTGTTGCACTGTTGCCCAGGCTGGAGTGCAGTGGTGCTGTCTGGGTTCACTGCAGCCTCCACCTCCCGGGTTCAAGCGATTCTCCCGCCTCAGCCTCCTGAGTAGCTGGGGTTACAGGCACCCACCATCATGCCCAGCTAATTTTTTTATTTTTATAGAGAAGGGGTTTCACCATTTTGGCCAGGCTGGTCTCGAACTCCTGACCTCAGGTGATCTACCCACCTCAGCCTCCCAAAGTGCTAGGATTGCAGGCGTGAGCCACCGGGCCTAGCCTGAACTTAATTTTAATAAATTTAAATAGCCACATTTGGATAGTAGCTACTGTATTGGATAGCGCAGATCAGTAAATGTTTATTGAATGGAAAAAAAGAATGAATGTACCAGTATATGTGATGACTTGAAAGAAGTGGAGAATACAGAGAAGGAAGAGAATAGTAGACTCAGTTGATAGATGCCCTCAAAAGTTGTCTATTTCAACCCCATCCAGTACTTAAATTCCTTCTCCAACCTTACATCGTGCTGGAAAAATCCCTTTCATTTTGGATGTTCTCTTTGTCACTTTCACCCCTAGGTCCTTACCTCTTGGTGCTATGATTCAGGGAGCTAATCACTCCACCTCAAAGAGTCTACTCAGATATTTGACAGTAGTTATTATGGCTGTCTTTCCCCCAGAGCTTTCACTTCTCCAAGCCAAACAGTGCCTTATGATACAGTTTACTAGAGGATTGTTGGAAAAGTTACTCAGCCTCATCTGTAAAAGACAGATAATTGTTGTACCTACCTCACAGGGCTGTTGTGAGGACCAGGTAAGGATGTATGAAAAGGTGCTTAGCACAGTGCCTGGCATTTAAAAAGTAGTCAATAAATGTTCATTATTGTTGACAAAGAAACATGCCTTGTGTTGTGATTTACACATTGAGTTTATTTTGGTCAAATAGGCCTCTAGAGAGAAAGCAAAGACAAAGGGTTTTGGTGTTCTCTGAAAAGCAAGTGAATTGATGCCACTTAGAAAATGATAGAGTTACAGAATGAGGTCAGGCATGGTGGCTCACGCCTGTAATCCCAGCACTTTGGGAGGCCGAGGCGGGTGGATCACCTGAGGTCAGGAGTTGGAGACCAGCCTGGCCAACATGGTGAAACACTGTCTCTACTAAAAATAACAAAAAATAAGTCGGGCGTGGTGGTGGGTAATCCCAGCTACTCGAGAGGCTGAGGCAGAAGAATCGCTTGAACCTGAGAGGCGGAGGTTGCAGTGACCTGAGATTGTGCCACTGGACTCCAGCCTGGGCGACAGAGTGAGACTCCATCTGAAAAAAAAAAAAAAAAAAAATTCAGTGAGGTCAAGGTCAACATTGGCAAACTATACACATGGGCACTGTGATGATTATTATAACCTAGATGGATAAACCCAATTCTTAAACATCTGACAAATGCAGTTTTCTATAACATGTAGGAAATTCAGTTTCTCACAACAAACATGAAAAAACAGGCTTTGTAGTAATCCTATCTTTGAGGTTAAGTACTACATTCTATTAAGATAATCTCCATTTAAGCGACAAATTATCATAGCAAACACACCTGCCAGAAACTCAATTTCATGAAGACAAAATGCAAAGTCGGTAAATAACTTACACAGACCTTAACCAACCTGATTAGTGCTCTTTTATATGTATGTGCATGCTCACCATTATAACATATTTGTAAATATTCTTCAGTTTTCGCCCTCATCTTTCCAGTGACAACTGAGTTTTGTATTCGAAAAAGCACTTGTGTGTCAATAAACTTCTTCCCTGCCAACACTTCTAATCAAATCTTACAGTAGTTTGTGACTTGCTGTGTTCATGGTTTTAATCAAGACAGTCAAAGGATGTTAGGCTTAACAGTTTACTTTTTTTTTTTTTTGAGATGAAATCTGGCTCTGTCGCCCAGGCTGGATGCAGTGGCGCAATCTCAGCTCACTGCAACCTCTGCCCCCCAGATTCAAGCAATTCTTCTGCCTCAGCCTCCGGAGTAGCTGGGATTACAGGCGCCCGCCACCATGCCTGGCTAATTTTTTGTAGAGATGGGGTTTTGCCATGTTGGCCAGGCCTGACCTCAAGTAGTCTGCCACCCTCCTCTTCCCAAAGTGCTGGGATTACAGGTGTGAGCCACCACGCCCGGCCTTAGTTTCCTATTTTGATATGCTGTGATAGCATCCTCACTACTGTCATTGGTTCATCACTTAATCAATCAAGCACTCTCTGACCTTAGCCCCCAATGCTGTTGTAAAATCTGGTCTTTCATTTCACCTGCCAGATACCGACATGGATCAGTTGTGAATCAATACTTGTTCCTCCAGCGCAGCCAATGAGCCAGCTGAAGAAAGATGACCCCAACTGGCTCTCGGCACTGCTCAGCAATCAGCATCTCTCAGTGCCTTCTCCCATTGCCTGGTTCTACTAGTCCACGTTTCTAACACCTCCTGAAATGTTCTGTGATACCTCTTAGCATAGGAGGCATTCACTGAGAAGAGTCAGGCAGTCAGGAGTGGGGAGGGAGTTCGCTAACGCCCATCTGTACACGTGGAAGAAGCTCTCAGCCCGCTACTCGCCGCCCAGCTCTCCACCTCTGCTTACCATCCCCTTGCTGTTCCAGGATCCTGCTCTATCGCTCACCTCCTCTACTGTGCCTTTAACATCTCTACTAGCTTTTTCCTCCAAACACCCCTGGCCTGTCATCTCAGGAAGAAACCTCCACTTTGACCCTATATCCTCTTCCAGCTCCTATCAGTCTCTCCTCCCCTCTCAGCAAGCTTCTGGAAAGAACACACTGCTCTTGCTCTTGTCCACACCACTTTCATTCTCATTCCCTTATCAACCCAGGGCAGACCAGCTTCTTCCTCATTTCTCCCAAGAAATTGTTCTTAAGCATTGAGCCAACTTGTATCTACCAGGGCTGGGAACTGTTTTCAATGCTGGGCCAGGCGTGACTGCAGGCACTGTTTTAGACGTCAACAACTTATCTCCATCTCCACAAATGTTACCATTGTTCACTCAGCTGCCCAGTCCAGCCTTTTTTTTTTCTCCTTGAGACAGAGTCTCGCTCTGTTGCCCAGGCTGGAGTACAGTGGTGCAATCTCTGCTCACTGCAACTTCCACCTCCCGGATTCAAGCAATTCCCCCGCCTCAGCCTCCCTAGTAGCTGGGATTACAGGCACTCGCCACCACGCCCGGCTAGTTTTTGTATGTTTAGTAGAGATGGTGTCTCACCATGTTGGCCAGGCTGGTCTCGAACTCCTGACCTCAGGTGATCCGCCTGCCTCAGCCTCCCAAAGTCCTGGGATTACAGGTGTGAGCTACTGCACCCGGCCTGCTTCCTTTTCACTTTCCACGGCCCCACACTCTCATTTGCCAGTCCTTATAGATTCTACCTGTTTAATATCTCCCACCATCCCACCCTGCCCCCACTCCCCACCCTCGCCAGTCTTCTTGTCTGCTGCCTTAGATCAGGCCCTTACCACCCCCTGCTTGGATTGCTGCTGTGGCTTCTTAATTGAGGCAGGCCTCCTTCCAGACCACATCCCACTGGCTATCGTAGGAACCTCTCTAAAATTCAAATTTAATCGCATCATGCTGTGACCTCTGATGATTTTCATAGCTTACATAATAAACTCCTCAGCTTAACCCTTAAGCTTCTTAACATCCCATCTCTGTTTACTTGTCTTAGTTCATAACATACCATTCACCCAAATCATCTTAATGGCAACCATTTATTGAGCTGCTATTTATGTGCCAGG